GAAAGAGGGATGAAGTGGACAGGCTGATGAGGTGGCAGTGCCACTGGCTGTCCAGGGTCCATTCCCATGAACTTACCAGGCATTCATACCCTTCCGTGAGGATACCACCTGCTTGGCACACATGATGTCGTCCAGAATATGACGGTTGAGGAGGTCTGTGGGGAAGAGAAGGAATTAGTAATCCAGGGCATTGGGGATAGTGTGACAGTGTATGGAGGGCCTAGGAGTTCTGGGTTCCTTGGGCCCTTAATAACAACTACATTAGCTGATTCTGGATGACCTTGATTTACTTGTCAACTGGTTATCTCAACTGTCATGTTGGCTGGTTATGAATAACCTCAACCATCATATTGGCTAGTCCCAGACAACCTTAAACCCCATATTGGCCAGTTCTGGATGACTTCAATTGTCATTTTGTGTGGTTATGAATGATCTCAACTGCAGTGGTGGCTGGTCTGATATCACCCAGCACCATGTTGGCTTGTTGAAAAGCTACCCAACTGAAAGGTTGGTCAGTCCTGGTGACTTTAAATACTATGTTGTCAGGTCCTGGACAACCTCAACTCCCATTTTGACCGGTTATGATATGAATGACCCCAATCTCCATGTTAGCTAGTCCTGTTCAACCTCAACCATCATGGTGGCTAGTCCTAGATGATCTCAACTATCATGGTGGCTGGACCAGGATGTGCATAACTGCCATTCTGACTAGTTAATGATCTCGACCTCCATATTGACCTTTCCAGGACAACTGCAATTGTTAATTGCCTTTTTGACTGGTTATAAATAATTTCAACTTCCATATTGACTGATCCTCAACTTTTATTCTAGCTAATTCTGGACTACCTTAACTTCTATGTTGACTGAAAGTGAACAAAACTTTAATTTTAGCTAGTATTGAAAAAACTTAATATTTATGTTATCCCGTCCTAGAGAACCTCAAACTCTGTCTTGGCTGGTCCTGGACAACTTCAACATTCAAGCTGGCCAATCCTGGGTGACCTCTTTTGTCATTGTGGCAGGACTTGGACAACCTCAAACTCCATTTGGGCTGGTCCCAAATAACCTCAGTCTTGTCTTGGACAACCTTGAACACCATTTTGGCCAACCCTGAACAACTCCTACTGCTATTCAATTTTATCCTCAATACTACTACACTCTAGTCTGGAAGGTTCTCTCCTTTCTGCACAGAGGTACTTTGTTTCTGCTTCTATAGCCAGATATCTGCTTCTTCCCTCAGGGCCTAAACAACTTCAATCCCAAATCAGGACAATTTCTTCCTCCATTCCACATAGAGCAAGTTTCTGGTTTCCTGAGTCCCAGGAAACTGCAGCTTCCATTCTGGGTGTTGTTTGGGAGCTTTGAGTCCTCCTGACTTAGAAAACATTTTAGTGCAGTCTGGGTAAGGATACAAGGTGGTATCTCTAACAGCCCAGGCAACTCTACTTTTCCTATAATTTTTCTGCTTGTTACTGGAGATTATGGCTTAGACAATCTTGCCCTCTGTGGGTTAGGGAATGGGTTCAGGTAGGGCTTCAATGTGTCCCCATTGCTACTTCACCTTGACACTCTATGTGACAGAGGTTCTGGGTGGGTGTAACACCATTGTCGCACCACCAGGCGGAGTTCAGCTGGAAAATGCCATATTCACTGCTGCCGTCAGGATTGTGGTTCACGAAGGAGGTGTCAAAGCCACTCTCATAATGTGCCACGCACAGCCCTGGGGCAGGGAGGGGGGCAGATAGCAGGTAGGCATGAGTCCTGGGAATAGAGGAGGGTAGGAGGAGGATGGGGACAGGGATTGTTATTGTCTCAGTTGTGGTCGTGTTGATATTAGTGATTTTAGTGAGATGTCAGTAATAGTAGTTGTGATAGTATTCATGGTGATAACAGCAGTGATGACATCAATGGTAGTGATGGTGTTGATATTAGAGATGAGGGTGATAGTTATGAAGGAAATGATGGTGATGACATTAGGCCTGGGGAGATGATAAATGATAAGAGGGGCCTAGGTCTGAGTGTAGTGAGCGGCTCAGGGTGTGAGTGGGACATAGGGCAACTGGAGTCTCACAGTCTCCAACGCTGTAGCCCAGGAAGCCATTGAGGCCCGCGTCCTCCAGCTTCATTGCTAGGTTGCAGCGTTCATAGATCTTGGTATCCACAGTGGCAACCATCAGCACGGTCAGGGTCACCACCATAGTGCCCCAGGCTTGCATCACGACACCCACAAGTCCTTCTAGCTGAATCCTTGCTCCAGATTCACCATGTACTGTTCAGAACTAGGGCATTCTGGAACTCAGCTCTATGAGCAAAGATCCAAATGATAGAATCTGGAATACAGAAGCCAGTGGGCTGGGCATCTTAGTATATTCCCTAGTGCCAGATCTGTTAAAGATACATGCACACAAGGAAGAAGGATACTGATGTATACACAGATATGGAAGGAGACAAAAACAGGGAGAAATAGAGATGTCAGAAAGAGATGCAGAGAAAGGGGGGCTGGAGATACATAAAGGGCAGACAAGACTCATAGTCCACATTCCCCTATATTCCTTAACATTGTCCAACTCCTGTTAATCATGCTCCAGCACTTGGTTACCTCAATTTACATTCACTCTGCCCCTCATCACCTCTATTCCGCCCTCCACTCTGCTAAGTGGTCAGCTCTGTTCACTACACTGTGCCTACTACTACCTCAGATTCTTCATGTTTTGCAAAATATGACAGCCATGCCCTCACCCTCTGCCCCCCATTACCTCCATTTACTCATTCTCAGCACCTGCTTCACCTCTTTTCATTTATTATGTATGCCCTGTTCCACCCTAATTTACTGGAATCTGCCCCATGTTATCCCCATTCAATCACACTCTGCCCCACATTACGTATATGTTATATATTACATATATACACTGTACTTTTTCACCTCTGTTCGCATTGTACGTTTTATTCCCCATTCATTTACACTGCAATTCATTCATATCCATTCACACCAAGCCCAAAATTACTGCAATTCCCTATTTATCATTACCCAAATTCTCTCACATCATATTCCTTCTTCACTTCCATTCACTCAGACTCATTTCCTACTTTCACTTCTACTTCCCGACACTGCATCAGATGACTCCCATTGACTCTCATATGGCCCATCCTTCAGCTTTGTTCATTGACTTTGGACCTCATTCTCTCCCTTATTCTCTTTCTGCTCCTTCATCTCTATTCTTTCTAATGCTGCCCCCCTTATTACCTTCATTTCCTGGACCTGTGCCTTGTATTACTACCAAACACTAGCTCAAGTTACCTACATATACTCACTCTATGCTTGGTTACTTCCATTCTTTCTCAATTTTCTCTTTATTCTCTCCATTTACTCTCACTCTGCCTCTCATTATCTCAAAATAATTTCTTTAATTTTTATTAAGTTTATTGGGGTAACATTGGTTAATACAATTATATAATTTTCAGGTGTACATTATCATTTG